AGGACAGATGGAGGTACCAAATCACTAAAGTAAACAATTGTGGTTAGCCTAAACTAGCACTAGATGCCAGCCTAAACGAGTGCTCTATAAAATGTGTAACAAATGAGTATAGCTCACCATACATGTTAATGGCTTGCTCAAACTAGCCCTCTGCTGCCTCTGCAGCTAAAGGGGGAGCCATTAAAGGACGGTAAAAAACAGGTTTTACAATCCCTCAACGGCTAGCATGAACAAGCCATGACAATCTGACTACAATTTCCTTGAGTGCTCCTTTACCCATGTGGTGCCCACCGAGGAGAGCTTGTTCATCGATTTGACAGGCAGTGAGGCAGTTATACCACCCCCTCACCTTTTTTAACCCTTTACACCCCACACCAGCACGCCACAATGATTGCGGGGTACCCCCTTCAGTTGTAAGTATTGCATTTGGTGGGCATTATTGCCCACTGAATGTGCAACGGGGACAATCTTTGCTGTGTTGTGATGCTTTGGCATAAGCACACCCCTCCGCAGTCTTTATAGTTTAACCCCTTCATGACGGAGGGTGAAACAAATCCTAACACCTGAATGCAGTGTTGCAACTTTTGACGTGTTACTAAAACTGTACATATCATCGCATCTACTTCGTGTATCCAGATGGATCATACCTTGTTTTTTTTTCCAGGACAAATTGGGCATTCTTTGGTGGGAAATGGATATTTCCTGATTTTTTTTTTATTATCAAAGGAAAATTGGCACACAAAATAGTAAAAAAAACGATTTAGATGTATATTTTTTTTTTCTATTACCATAACTTTCCACCAAAGGACAACCCCACAAAAATGTTCTGCTCCTGTTGATCGCAGCGATACCACATTTGTGTACATTGTTGTTTGTATGTGTAGTACGGCCCAGAAACAATTGTGTACATTTTGCTTTTTTTTTTTATCCTACCTAAAACACACTTACACTAACTGACACTGATACTACATTCAAATTGTGTTTTTTTTTAAACCTACCTAAAATACTCTGACCATGACCTTTAATCTTAACCCTGACCCTGACACTGACCTAGGTAAACCCTGGCCTAGCTGTTTTTTTCTTTATTTTTTATTTACTTTTTTTGTTTACAATTTAGCAAGGAGAAAAAGATGCAATGTATTATATACTGTGTCCTGTATATATACAAAGTATCTTTTTTCTCCATTCAAGAGGAGGAAACAAAGGGGCGGGCTGTACAGTGACTGAGCACTGTGAAAGCCAATCAGAGACTAGCACAGCGATCAGTTTATGGGAACTGGGCTTCCCAGTTCCCCACCATTCATACGAGACTCGGAGCTATCCTTTACAGCTCGGTCTCTGTGCTGGGAGCATATGGTGCAGCACACTCTCAGCACACAGTGGCATTAATATGTGATCTCGTGGATATGGACCCTCTTGCATGAGGCTGCATATGTGCATATGTTTGTCAAGAAGTGGTGTTTGTGCCTGGCCAGTGTTGTTATTATTATTACACAGGTTTTATATTGGGTTAATAGTTTGCACAGCACTTTTAAATTAGGTTGAGGGGGGGGTAGGCTTCCCCCAATAATTGGGTTTTCAAGTATCACCTAAAGGTGGACAGGGTAGGAGCTGACCAATCATACTGGAGTAGAGGGTTCTAGAAGACGAGCAGTTCTGGAAATGTCCGGAAGGCAAGCATGGGAGCTAGAGAGAAAGATGTCTTGGGAGGAGTGGAGAGGATGATTTTGGCAATATCTGCAGACGAGGTTCATGATGTAGCTAGCGGCAGTGTTGTGGATGACTTTTTACGTTGTGGGTTAGTATTTTGGCTTTTATACTGTTGCCCTCCAACCCCCAGCACTGGGACTGTGTGCTGTCTCTTTCACCTCCTCACTCCTCTTCTGTGGCTGGGCAGCATAGAGAACGGCCAGTTGAGATGTGAACCACGTGGATTGCAGAGCAGGGATCTCCAAACTTTTTACTATAAGGATCACATCATATATTTTACAAAAAATCTGTTTTATAAATGAATGAATCAAATTTAATTGAATGCATAAATTTTACTTGGAGTTTTTTTGTAATCAGCATGAAATTATTTAGGACAACAGAGAAAGAACGTCAGTTTAAAAAAAGGACATAAATTCCAAATAAACTTGGGTTTCCCCTAACTTTCCGACAGTTACAGGAATCTGTTGCCGCATTTGTTGCACAGACCGGAGACAAATTTCTAATAAGTGTTTGACCCTCTTTGAGGAATATAGGGATAGAGGTCCTGTTGGTGTGGTGGCAGGGGTGAAGACACTGCAGAGTATATCAGTATACATCGGCAGGTTGAACTGAATCCAGCTGGCGCTATTTGCTCACACAGTGTGCCAACTCCCTGCTCCTATCACACAACAATGACTCAACAATCCATTCAAAGTCTGTGTTTGGAGACAGCTCACTACATTACAAGTCCCCAGGAGGGGTGAAAATTGGGTGAGTTTTTTGCACACAACAGTAAGGGAGTGCAGTCAAGCCATCCATCCAATGTTTTAACAGGGTGGGCAGGGTGCAGAGAGGATTTTGGGGCTCTGATCTGGGTTTTTTATTAGTGACTCCTATTCATGAGTATGAATTGATTGTTAATTAATTCCTTTTTTTGTACTTTCCTACAGGGTAGCCTTGGTTGGTGTCGGATTTGCCACGTTTCTTTCTTTTGTTGATCCAAGACTGCAGGAAGGGGGCCCACTGCAAAACATGTGAAAGGGTCCTGCTGTGAAACTGTAATAAAGGGCCCGGGATCAGTGGGAAGGGCCCTAGGACCAATGGAAAGAGCCCCGCCTGAGGAGAGCGAGGGGGGCCCTTCCTGGTTTCTTGTAGGTTCTAGTTGCACGTGTACAGGATCAGAACAAAGAGATTAAAGTGACACTAAACTCTGGTTTAAAAAGAATACATACTTGAATAGAATCTGTTTTTAACTTTAAAAAGTTCCTTCCTTTCCCTTCAGCCTCCTCCAGATCTCAAAATTCCTTTTTTTCAGCTGTGATCTAAAAAAAATTATTATACTAAAAAAAAATATCATTTCTTTTTCCTATCCCTTTAAAATGTTGTGTCCATTTAGTGCCCATAAATAAAGTTTTGTCATTACAGAATATTGCATCAATATTGATTTCCTTTATATTAGTGTCTACATTGCAGCCTTCCTTCTGAATCAGCAGAGACTACATGTGTATGTGTCAGTATACAATATACTGCATCATTACATTATCTTTCTACTGAGGTATGGATGGCATAATCTGCAAGCAGACATGGGACATGTAGTTATTATAGGCAGAAAAATGATGGATCAACCACACTGCTGTTGCTATGAAGAACTAGAAATAGTACAAATGAGCAGGCACAACAACAAACATTAGAGGGACATTTCCACAGTGAATATAAATGAAACTGCCCTACTAAAACTGACTAATGGACTACTAACTGCTAAAACCAATGGCCACTACTCCGTACTCTTACTACTTGACCTCTCTGTGGCCTTTGATACTGTTGACCATTCCCTCCTCCTCAAAAAAACTCCACTCTCTTGGCCTCAGAGACTCTGCTCTCTCCTGGTTCTCCTCCTACCTATCGCAGCGTTCCTTCAACGTTACCTATAACTCTTTTCTCCTGCTCTCCACTCCCTCTTTCTGTAGGGGTCCCTCAAGGTTCTATCCTTGGACCTTTTCTCTCTTCCATCTACACCTCCTCCCTTAGTCACTTGATAAACTCCCATGGCTTCAAGTACCATCTCTGTGCTGATGACACACAAATCTATCTTTCTACTCCTCACCCCTTCCTTCAGTCTGTGCTCACATTACTAACCTACTAAGTGACATATCGGCATGGATGTCACTCCACTTCCTCAAAGTCAATCTTTCCAAAACTGAGTTCCTAGTATTCCCTCCAGCCCGTGCCCCCTCCCATCAAGACCAATAATACAACCATCAGTCCCTCCCCTCATGCCAGGGTACTAGGTGTAATCCTAGACTCCAATCTGTCCTTCCAGCCCCAAATCCAATCGCTTTCCAAATCATGTAGACTTCACCTCCACAACATCTCCAAGATACGGATGTTTTTAACCTCGGAAACTACTAAGCAACTTATCCACTCAATGTTATATCTTGCCTTGTAACTCCCTCGTCATTGGCCTACCTCATCGCAGGCTATCCCCTCTTCAGTCTATCATGAATGCTGCTGCCAGACTCATCCACCTTACTAACTATTCCGTATCTGCCACCCCTCTCTGCCAATCCCTCCACTGGCTTCCCATTGCCCGACGGATGAAATTGAAAACATTAACAATAACATATAAAGCCATTTATAACATTGCCCCAAATTACATCTCCAAACTTGTCTCCAAATATCCCCCAAACCGTACTCTCCGCTCCTCACATGACCTCCTGCTCTCTAGCTCCCTCGTCTGCTCCTCTCATGCTCATCTCCAAGACTTCTCCAGAGCTTCCCCCATCCTCTGGTACTTTCTACCCCAATTTATCAGACTACTGCCTACTATGCTCACTTTTAGGCGATCTCTGAAAACCTATCTCTTCAGGGAAGCCTATCCTGCCCTCAGCCAATAATGAAATCTTCTACTCCTCCTACCAGTTCATCCCCTACAGTTACTACCTTTTGTACCACTAGCCCCTCCCTCTTAGATTGTAAGCTCCAAGGAGCAGGGCCCTCCTAACCCCTTGTATTGAACTGTATTGTTGCTGTATTGTCTCCCATTATATTGTAAAGCGCTGAGCAAACTGTTGGCGCTATATAAATCCTGTATAATAATAATAATAATAATAATTAATACTGATGAGTAATGAAGTGTTTTGCTTTGGAGAAGGATGGTCTTTATTAATACTAAATGTCAGCATTATGACTTTAGATCTCCTTTAATTACAAAGAAAACATATATTGACAAATTCAACAACTTCTAACATTTGTAAGTAAAGTATATCTAACAGTTGTGTTATTACAATCATTTACATTTGCCAATGACTGAATCATAGTTGTTCCCAGGGAAAAGACATGTTGAGGTCTTTCACTTTCTCCTGAAAAATTTTATCGAAATATTCACTCTGGGCCACTGTGAAATGGTTCTTCCAGTCTCCAGCAATTCCTGTAAGAAGCACAGCAATGATATGAGTAGAGTAAATCTTCAATGTCTCTAAACATAGCTAAAACCTGAAGTGGTATATCAGGGCTTAACAAATGTGACCCCTACTGTAGATCTAGCCTTATATCAGAATGGTGGAGCCCCTTTCAATCCACCTCCTAAGGGACTGCAGGATAAGGTTTCAACTTTTGTTTACATTTTGTTCCTGAGCTCACCCCTGGAAATGAATATCTACTCTGGTATACTAGGGACATCACATTATCTAGGGTGCAAGGTACAGCTTGCCAATATAATTCATCCCTTATGCATTGTTACAGGTTTTCCCAAAATATAGCCAGTAAAACGTCACTATCCCAGCTCACTTCCAAAGTATTTTGTCCCATAGAAGAAAGCTTTAGTACAGGTGAGGGAAACATCCCTAAGGATTGCCCCCTTATACTAGTTGATAGGTTTGCATGGCCTGCCATGACCCAAGGAAATATTTTGGAATGCATGAGTAGTGCCACCCATGCCAGACAGGTTTAGGTTTTTTGTGGATCTTGTGATGATTTGTTGTAACATTATGGTATCCTTTTATGAAACAGAGATGAGCTGCGATCCTGGTTTATAAAACTGAGATGAGCAGTGCTGATCATCTCAGCATACTGAGAAACTGTCATTGTCATTAACAGAGATGGCCAATTTATGAAGGTACAATGTCAGCACCTCACTGGAAATCTCTGAAAATTCTAACTCCTAACTTCTCCAGCGCAGAGGTGGAGAATTAGGGAGAAAAAAGAGAATTACACTGAGAACTGAGGAAGAAGGAGAGAGACTACCTTCTTCCTCCATCAAAGCCACCTAGACAGTGAAAAATCACATCAGTTTCCTTGCCTTTCACAAACCCCCAAAAACCGACAGAGCACATTAGAAACAGAACAGAATACACATATAATAAAAAAAAAATGTGTATATACTATACACACACTGCTCAAAAAAATTAAAGGAACACTTTGAAAACACATCAGATCTCAATAGGGAAAAATATCATGCTTGATATCTTCACTGATATGGACTGGGTAATGTGTTAGGAATGTAAGGATGCCCCATCGTTAAATGGAAATGAAAATTATCAATCTACAGAAGACTGAATTCAAAGACACCCCAAAAATCAAAGTGAAAAATGATGCAGCATTTTGCTGAAATTTCATTGCAGCAACTCAAAATGGTACTCAGTAGTTTGTGTGGCTCCCACATGCTTGTATGCATGCCTGACAACGTCGGGGCATGCTCCTTATGAGACGAAGGATGGTGTTGTGGGGTATTTCCTCCCAGATCTGGACCAGGGCATTGGATGGACCGACACATGATATCCCAGAGGTGTTCTGTTGGGTTTAGGTCAGGTGAGCATGGGGGCCATTCAATGGGATCAATTCCTTCATCCTCCAGGAACTGCCTGCATACTCTCGCCACATGAGGCCGGGCATTGTTGGGCAACAGAAGGAACCCAAGATCCACTGCACCAGCATAGGGTCTGTCAATGGGTCCAAGGATATCATCCCGATACCTAATGGTAGTCAGGGTGCCATTGTTTATCCTGTAGAAGTCTGTGCGTCCCTCCATGGATATGCCTCCCCAGACCATCACTGACCCACCACCAAAACGGTCATGCTAAACGATGTTACAGGCAGCATAACATTCTCCACAGCTTTTCCAGACCCTTTCACATCTGGCATGTCATGTCTGTGCTCAGGGTGAACCTGCTCTCATCTGTGAAAAGCACAGGGCACCAGTGACAGACCTGCAAATTCTGGGGTTCAATTGCAAATGCCATTCGAGCTCTACGGTGCCAGGCAGTGAGCACAGGGCCCACTAGAGGACGTCGGGCCCTCAGGCCACCCTCATGAAGTCTGTTTCTGATTGTTTGGTCAGAGACATTCACACCATTGGTCATTTTGTAGGGCTCTGGCAGTGCTCATCCTGCTCCTCCTTGCACAAAGGAGCAAATACTGGTCCTGCTGATGGGTTAAGGACCTTCTAAAGTCCTGTCCAGCTCTCCTAGAGTAACTGCCTGTCTCCTGAAATCTCCTCCATGCTCCTGAGACTGTGCTGGGAGACACAGCAAACCTTCTGGCAATGGCACATATTGATATGCCACCCTGGAGGAGTTGGACTGCCTGCGCAACCTCTGTAGGGTTCAGGTATCACTGGTATGCTGAAAAACAGTCAGAAAAGATGAGTAGGGGAACAAATGTCAGTGGCCTCCACGTGTAAATCCGTTCCTGTTTTGGGGGTCATCTCATTGTTGTCCATCCAGTGCACCTGTTAATTTAATTAACACCAAAGCAGCTGAAACTGATTAACAACCCCCTCTGCTACTTAACTGACCAGATCAATATCCCAGGAATTTAATAGACTTGATGCTATACTCTGATTAAAAAGTGTTCCTTTAATTTGTTTGAGCAGTGTGTGTGTGTGTGTGTGTGTGTGTATATATATATATATATATATATATATATATATATATTGCTATAGCCTTATATCATCTGTAAGCAGTTACAGGATTGCCAGTATACCAGATCCACCCAGAGGGAAGCACAGGCCCACAAAGAACATGCTCAATAGCCAAATCCCAATCTCTGCCACCAAAAACAGATGAGGAGGACACTGAGAAGAAGAAGAAATGGGCATTGACTGGCTGTGGCCATCTACACTGCCACTCCTCCTCCTTCTATAGGAGACAGATACTGGACCTCTCAAGCCTTAGGCTCCAGAATGTATACTACGCAACCAATCCTTGGCAAGTAAAGAAGACCCCAATTTCACTGATTACAGAGGACACAGAAGCTCCTCAACCATCTATATCAGCTTCTAGGTTTTATTGCCAAAGCTTAATTTAACAAGTTGAGGTTAGAAGCTCATTGGTTTCTATGCAGAAGTGAGCCTGATTTTGCATTCTCCAGCTTTAGCAAATAGATTCCTATGTGTCAATGGACTGTCTCTTCTTTGAGGACCAAATGTTCTTTGGTGGGGGGTGTATGTAGTGGGTGCAGCATTGACAGGAGGGGGCTTGGTGATCGCTCTCCCTTCCCCCCTCTCAGCCTGTTGTTGCTGCAGGGAGAAAGCCTCCTTGTGTTCCCACCACTCAGTCTCTCCTCCTGTCAACACCAGAAAAAGAGTGAGTACCAAAGCGGCTGTGACAGGGAGAGGTGGCGTTGCGGATTTACAGAATTCCAGTAGAGAGGTGTAAGAAACTCTTTGATGGTTACAGGAAGCCATTGATTTCAGTTATTTGTTCCAAGAAGTGTGCTACCAAATATTACATTTAGGGTGCCAATCATTTTGTCCAGTCCATTTTTGGGATTTTGCATGGAATGTGTCAGATTTGGCTTTTTGTTTCTCCACTTTTTTTGGTGTCATACCAATCCAAACAAAAGACATAACCATGAGAATGCCTAAACATTTGTAATTGCAACAATTTTCTCAGCGAAGTGGTGTATTATCTGACAGAAATGCAGGGGTGTCAATATTTTTGGCCACAAATGTATATGTAAGTGTGAAACTGCTAAAGAAATGTGGGAAGGATTACAAAATGTGCATGAAAGAGCAAATCTCAGCAATAAACAGTATTTTTTTAGAAAGCTATACCAAACCAAGCTGATGAAAGGCCAGGATATGCAGGATTACATAAGGCACACCTTGAAAATGGTTGAACGCCTGAGAGGTATAGAAGAAATAAAAAGATTTTCATGTTGCAGCACTATTAGTGGTTTACAAGAAAGTTATGAAACACTTGTCACAGCACTTGATGCACGTCCAGTTGATTAATTGACATTGAAATATGTTAGAGCAAGCTTGTGGATGAACATAAGTGTAAAACTGAAAGCATTAATAGTGACGGCGCTTCTATTACAGAGTCTGCTTTAAAGACAAATCATAGGACTAAAAACAGTAACATGCAACAAGAAACACGTGAATGCTTTGAGTGCAAGAAACAAGGCAAATTACAGAATCTGGAAAGCTAGAATGACTATGCAAAAAATTAGTCCATGTGATCAAACAATGAAATGCACCAGCTGTAAAAAAAAAGAAAACATGACAAGAAAAGCCTTTCCAAAGCAGAGTAACAGCAGAGTTAAAAAAAACCTCTGGACTTCATTCATTCAGATCTTTGCGGTCCAATGGAAAAATTAACTTCAGGAAAGAAGAGGTATATTCTGTTTATAGATGATTACTCCAGGTGTTCTGTCTCTCCAATCTAAGCATTGAAAGTGTGATCTCTGTAACTTACAGTTGTGATGAGATAGCGATGACTCCAATCTTATTTGAATACCACAGTTAGTGACTCCATACAGAAGACATCTTGTAGAACTTGTGAAATGTATTCCATAAACTGAGAGAATCTTACAGCAATGAACATCTGATAGGTCAAAAGATCATAATGTGACCTGCTTGATGACATGAGGCTAGAAGCTGCAATGCCTTACTGGGAAAAAGGGTGGGCTATCTATACAGCATTAACTAAACCAAAGTAAAAGGAGGAGCAGAGACAAAAAAATATAGAGAACATTTAAAGGCATATGACAGTCATGTGAAACATGACACCAGCTATACTACACTATATATGTTACACAACAAAAGATAAGTACCAGAGTAACTTGAACAGTAATTGGCTCAAGTAAGCAACACATTTGGCAAAGTGTCAAGTGTATTGCACACAGACAATGAAACTGAATATACAGGTACATGAAAGGGTTTTACTAAACAACAGCAAAAGTGATTCTCAGAAAGCATGGCATAGTATTTCAAAAACTACTGTACCATACAACTCAGAATAAAACAGGTTGCAGAAAGAATGAAACCGTACTCTATGTGAGAGTGGAAGAGCCATGCTGTTTGATGCAGATATGCCAACCACATACTGGGGGGAGGCAATTGTGGCTGCATGCTATCTCCAAAAATGACAACTAGGAAAATCAACTGAGAAAACTCCACATAAACTGTGGGATGAGAAAGCCCCAAATTTGAACCATCTAAAAAATTTTGGAAGCAAAGCCTATGTACACATCCCAAAAGAAAAACCTACAAAATTAGATGCTCAGGCAAAGGAGGGTATACCTGTGGGGTACAGTGACTCTCAAAAGGGATACAGAATTCTACACCAAGACACAAACAAGGTAACCATCAGTAAAAGTGTAATTGTCGATGAAACTTCAGTGTGTTCAAATTTCATGAAGTAACACAAATGCTTCAAACTAACAAAAATCCTATATCATTGTCTCATAAAAATAAGCAACAAAGTGACATAGAAACAGAAATTATTGCAGACAATCCAAAAATTTTGAAAGAAGAAACCAGGGCACAAGAAGCTTCACTCAGGAAATCCACCAAAAACCATAAAGCATCCCAGCCAAATGTCTGTTCTGTTTCACGGGATGAAATGCAAAGACTTCCAACCCATGAGAAACAAAAGTGGATTAGATGCTTTGACAAAACCGCTTACAAGAAACAGATTTATATAGATCCAAAATGGGACAAATATAGGGAGGAGGTGTTGAGTGTGGGTGTTGGAATACAATGTTCATGTATTTTTTGTGCAACAAGTACACCAAGAGCATTCAGTAAAGATATATTTTTCAACCAGTAGATGGCAGTATTTATAAGTTTGTAGCTGCATCTATGGTTAAACTCTATGCCTTTTCTCTAAAATAAAGTTCCTGTTTCCTGTTAGCAGAGAAGCAACAGATACGAACATGTGAACTGTGCACTGTCCTTTAGAGCTATATACAGAATCTCTAACAGAATCTCAGTGTCAATTTCCCCAATATGCAAATGTAGACAAAAATTTTATTGTTGCTATCTGCAGTCTAAACTACATGACCCTGTGTTTGGAAGAAACTTATTCTGTAAAGCATGGACACCAGTGAGTTTACGGAAAATGCTTCCATGGCTAGACAGCTTCACAAATGGATCAGAATCATGCATGATATTGTTTTTACCTGCCCCATCATTTAGGTCAGAGTTGGATTGACGATTTAAAATCTGTGACTGCTTTAGATGTTGTTTGAGGTAAACTAAGCAAAGAAATTAGGGAATGGAGTTTTGTATTTCACTGCTAGGGCTAGTGACTAAGAACCTAATGAATATAGAATTGTTCACCACAGAGCTTTTTTTCCTTGAACAGGTGCAGGAACTCCCCCTTTCTGAGCCTCACTTGTCTCCACCCCCTACCCTCCTGTGACCACCGTTCCCTTGGTTCCACCCTCTATCCATCTCCCAGTACTGCCCTCTTTTAGAGAATACAGAAGTATCATTTTGTGGTGCTAAATAATTTGTATTGAATTAGTTAATGATAACAAGAAAAGCAGTAAAATAGATATCCTGCTGCAAGCAACAATAGATATCCCCCCCGGCAACAATAGACCGCAACCTAGCAACAATTGATACCCCCACACAACAATAGACCCTCAGCAACAATGGACCCCACCCCAGGAACAATAGGTCCCCTCAGCAACAACAGAACCTACCCCAGCAACCATAGACCCCACCCCAGCAACAATAGATCCCTCACACAACAGTAGACCTCACACACAGCAACAATGGACCATCCACACAAAATACCACCCAGAGCAACAAAATATCCACCCCAGCAACATCAGATCTCTCAGCAGCCAGCAACCTCTCCCTCAACAGTAGATCCCTACCAGCAACATAAGATCCCTAGCAACAATAGATCCCCCAGCACAACAACACACACACCCTCACACAAAAACAGATCCCCACCAATTACAATAGATCGCCCAGCAGCCAGCATCAATAGACCCTCCAGCACACCCCTTGCCATTACATACTTTCAGTGCTAGAGGTGCCAGCACTGCGTTCCCCTGTGTTCCCGCTGAAAAAAAAGCCCTGGTTCACCACCTCTGATTTACAATTGGTTTGTCTCTGAATGAGGGGGGATTGTTTGTGGGGATGTATAATCCCTTGGCTTTGTTCTCTACCCACATTTCGCAGTCTTCTCTTTCACCCTTGCAGAATGCTGAGCTGTGGGAGAGTGAACTGCACATGTGAGTAAAGAAAGAAGCCAACTGCTCGTTTGTGAGTTTCCGGGCTGCACATCCATGGCTCGTTATATACTGGCATCTGAAATAAGCAGATGAAAAAATAAGCCTTCTTTTTCAAACAGAACACTGCTTGTTAATATACTGAGGACACTGTGATGCATAGTGATATTTTTGTCAAACGTAAAAGGTGAACAAGCCCTTTAATTTAAGCCTGGCTTAAGAAGTATGAAAAACATAACAGACTAACTGCTGCCCTTTTCCATTTCTGAATGGACAGTACCAATCACTAACTTTGTCCATTCGTAATGGATACTTAGTAAACTGTGTTTACTATGCTTCAGTTTGTGAATAAACGGGAAGCTTTGTACAGAGCAATTTCTGTGCATTCATTCTGTGCAACTAGGGCTGCACAAATGGAGATTGAGGGCAATGTCCTCAATCTCCTTTCTCTATATCAAAGGTGAGACATCAGAGGTCTGTTTAAAATACTGATATTTCATCAAAGCCCCCCAAAGGGGCTCCTAAAAAATTGTAAAAAATACAATTGTAAAAAATAATAATAAAAAATGGTATGAAATAAAAACTACTGACCCCGTCCACTGCCCTACTGAACCCATCCACTGCCATACTGACAATGTCCACTGCCCTTTTGACCCATCCACTGCATTACTGACAAAGTCGACTGTCATACTGACACCAACCTCTGCTCTACTGACCAACACCATTCACAGTCCTACTGGCACCAGTGGCAGAACTATCAGGGTCGCAAAGGTCACACTTGTGACCAGGCCCTGGCATTCCACCACTGTTGGAAGGGCCCCAAGATGGCAGGAAGTGGACCCGCTACAGAACATGTGAAAGGGTCCCACCATGTCCCACCCAATAAAGGGCCTTGCAATGGGCGTAAAGGGTCCTGGGATCAGTTGAAAGGGCCCAGAGGGAAAGGCCCCGGGCTCAGAGGGAAGGGCCCCAGGCCTGGAGGGAAAGTCCCTGGCATGAGGTCAGGGGGTCCTTTATGGTTTCTTGCATCGGGGCCCTGAAGGTTCCAGTTTCCTCTGGGTGTGTTCTTTCCCTACCTTCTCTCTACACTGAGCTCTGCAGTGTGTAATTTTAGCTCTCCATCTCTGGAATATTGCAGAAAAAACAAGTGCAACCTGTGTAGTGGGATTTGTTTAATTCCCATGTGCTGTATCACCTGAGGCTAGTTACTTCGCTGAGTATATGTAAGGGTTTACAACCACTTTAATATTAACAACTGTCATGGTGACCACTATCTAAGGGCTTGTTCACACCAGGTACATTCATCAGTGCTGATCAATGCAGGCTCAACACACAGGTACATAGAAAACAATTCCTCTATATGTGCCCTGTACACACCATACATGTGCTTTTGGCTGCGTTGCTTAAAAATACATCATGTCAACATGCTGCAAGGAGCTGCATACATGAAGTTACACAAATTATTTACTGGTAATGTTAAGTAAAGTTAAAAAAGAAAACACGTAAGCATTGTGATGCATAACACCCCCTACATAGTGCACACTAGTGGGTATACAGCTTGCTGCGGTGAATGGACCCTAACAGGTAATTTACTCTCATTTTAAAGAGACTTTCCTGTTGTGTTTCCAGGACCGGAATAAACTGAAAACTGCAGGATCCTAAAGAAGCCACGTGATCGTGGCGCAACGCGTCGACGTAGGGGTGACGTACTTCCGGTTCCGGGTGCGGACGCCATCTTTGGACTCCTGTATACACCCATAGCATATGGGAAACTGCTTCTCGGTTTTTGAGGACATGTGAGTGTAATGTTTCACTGTATCGTTTTAGTCCATTAAACAGTGTTGCACTATGGAGGTCTGCTTTTGTTTTTCCATATGAATCGCTTTATGCCTGAGTCCATTGTGTGAGGGGTATTGGAGTATTACTTACTGCCTGGAGGAGGATCTTGGTCGGTGGTGGCAGTGGAGGAGAATATTTTCTGGCAGAGTTCGTTGTGTGAGGGGAGTAATTGGAGTGGTACTTACTGCCTGGAGGAGGATCATGGTCGGTGGAGGCAGTGGAGGAGATTAACATCTGGCAGAGATATATATATATAAAAAGCTCTGTGACCCGCAAGGGTCGAATGTGGAAGGTGAGGGGGCATTTCTGCTATTGAGGGGAGTCACGTCAAGATTTTCACGAAGAGCACTATTTCAGCATGGAGTGGCATTATTTGAACACTTTGTTATAATTTTTGCACAGTGTGGCATCATTATTCTAATTAATATTTTATTTTAAATTGATATAATCAATTGCATTTCAGTATCACTTTTTTGCACAGTTTAAGAGATATTAGTTATCACTATATCACCAGGGATATATATTATATATATATATGAGGATATTGCACTAGTTTTCTATTAATTATTTATTAGTATTATTTGTATATCTGCATAGCTTAAGAGGTATCATTTGTGTATTATTATATCACTAGGGATTTAATATTTATATATGGGGATATTGCACTAGTTTTTGAGTATTTAAGTTGAGCGCTTCACCACTTATATTATTTTGTTTCACTTATCTTGCGGTATATAGAATAGGTGATAGCAGCTAACTCACTAGGTTCTGTGGAGCGCAGGGGGATTTCTGTATTTTTATTTGAAAACTGCAGGGGATCTAATTCCTATGTCCTACAAAACAAAACAGTTAACGGTCCAGGTTCTGTATACTTTTCCTTCAAACAAGTGAATATCACTTGGAATTCTATCCACATACCTTTACGTAAAAAGGAGCCCTTTGTGTGATCTAAAAAGTCAGATGCCATTTGAGTCCAGTTAGACATCTTGTTTTCCTTCATGCTGCTGAAAGTTGAATGCTTTACAATGGAGTCAATCTGAGCATCGTCCAACTCCTTTCCTAGGAACTTACAGAGTCTGACCACACTTCCACGAGGGTCCTGAAAAAAATATTTTAATGTAACTACTATTGGCATGAATAGTATATAAATGTAATCAGTATAATGCAGGATGTCCTTGGATGACAACGCACGTTCATTGTACTGTATCTATGGAGCAGCATTGTTGTTACCCTGATACAGCAAGTGTGTTTAGACTACAGAACACCTCCTCCTCTGCACTTATCCAAAATGGGGGGGAGGTAACCACAGCAAGACTGATGACATTGCTTAAGAAAACCTCCTAGAGTGGACAGGACACAAGAGGAATGGAGATTGGGCAGGAGCAACAGTTATTTTTGAACCTATTGAACAGATTTAACAAAACCTTATAAACTGCATATTTAACAGATCAAAAAGGAGCATGTAGGAGAAGTTCAGTATAAGGGCTTATTCATCTGTAGAATTTTAACATAGTAGGTCTCTGGCAGAATTTGTACTAATACTGAACAGTATACTGTATACCACCTAATTTAGGCAAGTATCAATGCTACTGTCATATAGTTAAACAAAAAAATCAGTCCAAATGCATTTACTAGTTTGCACTAAAAAAAAAACAACCGGTGAGTTTCAGGGGTAAGAGAAACTCCCCCTTTATCAGAGATTCAGTTAAAATAGGAACCTTGAATGGACTCAGATTAGAGCTTTCCTACATGAATATGTGCAGGGAAGGTAATTGCTGGATCAGAAGAGTTACTGGTCAGCAGTATCTCCATAAGCAATCAAAATATCTCATAAAACTTGAGTGTGTGGGGAGGTGTAGGAAGGGGCAGAAATTGTAGGCCAGCACAGAGAGTCATTAGATATACCCAGCAGAATACAGAAAGTGTGTTAAGGGATTGACTTTTCCTTGAGTAGTAAGATCTTCTAGCAAATTCAAAGGTGCATTTCAAGTGAATAAAAAAGCATTCATGGAATGGAAAACACTGCAACAAATGTAATGTACTTGTTTGTTCTGTACTTTTGCCTGCAACCTTGCAAGTTGGTGAAATTGTCTCAAAGTGGGCTTGGAAGTGTTTTATTCATTAGCTTGTGTTTCAGTTATGGAGGGATGAGTGTACAGTATGTTCAATCCAGTTCCTTGCCTTTCCATACCATTAAAAGCTCCTCATATGTAATATAGAAGAATCTGCTGTCGTCCTTCATTTGCATCCAACCTTTGACATGGTCAAACCAAGAGCCATACAGAGCTGGAACAATTAATAGAACAAATTAGTAAATAAAGTTACAACATGATAACATACACTCATGGCCAAAAATATTGGCACGCCTGTATTTCTGTCAGATAATACCCCACTTTGCTCAGAAGATTGTTGCAATTACAAAGGTTTAGGCATGTTCATTTCTTTTGTTTGTATTGGTATGACACAAAAAAGTGGAGAAACAAAGAGACAAATCTGACACATTCCACACAAAACCCCCAAAATGGACTGGACAAAATTATTGGCACTTTCTCAAAATTGTAAGAAATAATTGCATTCCAAGTTTGTGATGCTCCTATAATTTGTAAATAAACTCACCTGTATCAAGGAACAGATCCTAATGTTCCTGTGTCTACTGTGCGCAACATTGTCAAGAAGTTTACAGCCCATGGCACTGCAGCTAATCTCCCTGGTCGTGGGTGAAAGAGAAAAACTAGATGAAAGATTTCAATGAAGGATTGTTTGAATGATGGCTAAAGAACCTTGATCAACTTCCAGACAAATTCAAGCTGATCTTCAGGCACAGGGTACAACTGTATCAACTCACACTACACATTACCATCTGAATGAAAAGGGACACTATGGTAGGAGACCCAGGAGGACCCCAATGCTGACACAGAAACATAAAAAAGCCAGATTGGAGTTTGCCAAAACTTACCTGAGGAAGCTAAAATCATTTTGGGACAATGTTCTGTGGACAGAGGAAACAAAATTACAGCCTTTTGGTAAAGCCCATCATTCTACTGTTTTCAGAAAAATAAATTAGGCCTTTAAAGAAAAGAATACAGTCTCTAAAGTGACACATGATGGAAGTTCACTGATGTTTTGGGGTTGCTTTGCTGCTTCAGGCACTGGATGTCTTGACCATGTGCATGGCATTATGAAATCTGAAGGCTACTAAAGAATTGTGGGGTGCAATGTAGGGCCCAATGTCAGAAAGCTGGGTCTCCATCAGAGGTCATGGGTCTTACAGCAGGATTATGACATGTCAGTGATTTAAGACAAAGTGCTGGAGAGTACTGAACTGGTGAGAAATGGGTCCAGATCTTAATCCCATAGAGTACCTGTGAAGAGATTTCAAAACAGCAGTTGGGAAAAGGAACCCTTCCAATCTGAGAGACCTGGACCAGTTGGTGAAAGGAGAGTGCTCCAAAACTCCAGTAGAGATGTGTAATAATCTCATTGATGGTTACATGAAGTGATTGATTTCAGTTTTTTTTTTCCAAGGGGTGTGCTACCAAATATTAAATTGAAGGTGCCAATAATTTTGTCCGGTCCATTTCTGGAGTTTTGTGTGGAATGTGTCAAATTTGGCTTTTTCTTTCTCCACTTTTTTGGGTCATACCAATACAAACAAAAGAAATAAACACGAGAATCCTTAAACAACTGGACGAAGTGATGCATTATGTTGCAGAATGCAGGGGAGCCAATATTTTTGATCATAACTGCATATAAATAATAATATGCACCTTTGTTAAATCAAGTAATGATGATTTGAGTAGTAGTAGAGTAGGTTTAAGGCTAGGTTCACACCTATTCAGATTGCGTTTGAGCCGTTTTTTTCTGCATTGTTTTGCTTTGCGTTTTTCGGTTTTCCACCTGTGTTTTTTACTAATTTTTGATGCGTTTTGCATTTTTTTAAATTTTTCTTGTTGCTAGGCAGACTTAAAATGCAAAAACGCATCGAAAACACCGCAAAAATGCAGAAAAAAATGCAGAAAAAACGCACTACATGCTTTTCTGCAGCGTTTCCATAGAATCAAAAATGCAACTTTTTGCATTCAAAAAGTCCCTGGCCCTTTCCAAAAACAGCTCAGGGGAAGATCTTACCATGTTCCATAGGAAATCATCTTAAATGGACTGTTCTGCGTTTCTGCAAAACGCTGTGGAAAATGCTTAGGTGTGAACCTAGGGTAAATGGGAGTAAAATTTTTTTTTTTTTCTGTTTATATACAGTATATAGTTAAATCATTAAAAGGTGGCCAATCACAGGTCAAAATTTGGCTGTTTCAGCAAGGACTACCTGAATTCCGATCCATGCATGCCCACTGCAGTTGAGCAGAAGTCTGTCGATCGACTTCTGTTCAACCTCCCTATCATCTAAAAGACACTTGTTCAGCATGTCGGTGGGGTTTAGCAACCTACTGGGGAACCCTGGAGTGAGCTTTTACTATTTCCTTCAGTGGCAGGCATAAACTAGGATCATGTGAATTCAGCGTTGAGGCAGCACTGTTAACCCTTTGTAATCTGTGGCCAAACGTCAATTGCCTTGACACACATGCTCTAGTCTATAGACATAACTTCTGTAAGATCTCACGGTACATTCTCTCCCTCTTTCTCTAGACCTGCAGCATTTCTGAGCCAGTACCACGCAGCTTGTATTGGCCTTTACCAACCTCCTTAGAATAGCTTCTCTGCTCATTAGACCTCTGTACTATATCTTTTCTAGCTTTTCTTGTTCTCTAGAATAAGCCCTGTTATTTTATATGCTCGAAAGAGCAGGGCCCTCAATCCCCTCATGTTTTGCATTGTATTGGTATTGTTCTTTCACATGTTCTGTCCCCCTTTGTAATGTACAGCGCTGAGCGAACTATTGGCGCTTTATAAATACTGTATAATAATAATAATAATATGCTATGCATGCTCCCCTATAATAACTTCAGACCAAGAAGTAGAACTGAACAACATCTTCTTTTACTAAAGTAGTTGAAGGTAACAAAGAAAACAGTACTCCAAGATATTTCTACACACATTCCTCACAAAGTTCTCAAAGTGCCATTTTAGTTGTGCCCATGGTGCCCCCTATTTGCCCCATGAGGTAGTGATACGTTATTTGGGTGTAAAAGTCCATTAAAGTTCCTTTGCAAAGTAAGAGTCCATTATTGGCAGTAAATCCATAGTTTGTTAGCAATAATCCATAACTGGTAGTAAATTCATGACTGGCAGTATAAGTCCATAAACCCTTAGAACCCGACCGGGCTCCCACAAGGAGTAGTAAAGCAGCAGAATGGAGACTACATCCTCAGCCGCACTCTGCCTATCTTGCCAATTAGCAAGAAAATACTTTTCACCTACAGTTCCCCTTTTTATATGGTTTGTCCAGCAGAGGGCAGTACTCTTCAGAGAGTCTAGTTGGCAGAGTTAACCCTTACCTACCAAACAGCACCACTTCTGCTGGGCACCATTTACTAAGCAGTGCAACTTACACAGAAGGATATACACTTAAACCAGGAAAAAAAATAACCAACACAATAATACCTCATTAAAGTGTTACTAAACCCAGGACCCTGCATTCACTATATCTGGTCTCCCACAATACACAGAACATGGAAATGCAATTATTTTAGTAAATAAACTGCAAAATACCTTTTCACATTAGCAGTTAGAGCAGTTTTGTGACTTCTATCATGTCCAGCAGAGCACTGGTTAAAGCTTGTAGGAGTTTTCATTCTCCCCTGATTGTTCTATAAGGCTGCATAACCCCTGACCCTCTGTCTGGACAGTGCTGATTAGCCCTGTGCTTATCACATGCACTCTTCCAAGACAAAATAACTGTCTAGCAATACACACCAAGTGAGTATGTGAAGCTTGCCCCCAAGGCTCTGTTCTATCAGCAGATGGATTGGGGACAGTAGAAAAAGGAGAGGATCAGAGAAGACAGGATCAAACATTATTTTTACACAGTGTGGAGGATTAACCCCTTAGGTTCCACAATGAGTATAAGCTTTACTGCATATACAGACTGATTTTACTGTTGTGGGTTTAGTAACACTTTAAGTACCTGCTTACACTTCACCCATCTTATGGTTGATCTGTCCTAACTAATATCAAACAAAATAATCATAACTTATAGCATGCACATTTTAAACATGTACAGAAGAGAACCTTTATTTGTACAGAAAACATCCAAAAAGCATGATATCAAAAGTGCAATATTCTGACAATTCTACAATTTTACCCAGATAGGTATTGGCATGCATGACAAATATAAACAGCAGTGACACCTTTGTAGAAGGAACCCTTGTCAGGTCCTGCACCTGAGGATCCTTGAATAGTTTGTGAGCATCCTGTTCCACAGGGATAGTGAAGTCAGCTGGCTCAGTTAAAGGTGCAGTCAGTTGCTTTGGTGACTTAGGCGCAGACACATTGGAATTCCAATCTGGTTTAGGGCCAATAGTCCTTGCAACCAAGGTTTCCATGAGAGCAGTGAAAAGTTCCAATAGTTCCTTCTACAGCAGACACTGAGTTCTTGAAAAGGAGTAGTTTCTTTGGAGAGTTCCCATGCCCTTGGGTTGCCACCTCATCCCTTTAAAACTTGTGTAAGGTGGTAATTAAACTCACTTAGTGCCTTATCTGCATTAAATTAGCCTCAGAACCTGTGTAATTAATATGTGTTCGTTTTCAAAGAGATGAAGTGGCCAACCAGTCTGGATAGGGGAATCTAGGCAAGGCCCATCTGATCCAGACAGCAGGGCACTCAGGGAACCAGCAGCAGTGTGAAGCACTGACAACAGGACCAAGACTCTTGGCAACAAAGCAGCAGCAGCAGTAAAAGTAGATGGAAAAGGCAGCATATCAGTCCCTGAGTGCTATGGTTCCTCTGCAATAGCCAGATGGAGGCAAAGCATGGCCTGACAAGTTCATGGGAAAAGCCTGATGACATATGGCAGCACTTTGAAAAAAACAGATGGATCCTGAACTCCAATTCGGCAGTGCACCATCCCCATGATCAGCCAGTACAGCAGTCCGGAGACCAAGATGAGAGGTTCTTATTTCTATGGCAACAACTGATGCAACATGGCGGCAGAGCTTCTAGCAGTGAAACCACATGGAGAGCTTCCGGATCAGGGCACTTTTATCCTGCCTCTAATGTTGCAAGAGCCAATCACTGGAGAACATGCAATCAGTCACTGAGCACAAGCTAGGCACACTTCCTTTCACATGTCTACCACGTTTCTTTACACGTGCCGTGGTCTCTTTACTAGCTG